CAGATTACGCGCACAGCTCCGTCAATGGTACGACGATTGGCAAGCCCTCTCTCTCTAGACACTAAACGCTTTCATACCACATACAAAAATGTCTATTCTGATTTCCTGATTTAAGAATTTTCGTGTGTATTGAATATACTGTTATTGGGATTGACTGCTAAGGTCCAAATGTGCTCAATTATCCAAAATTAAATGCGAATGATCAAGGATACTTGCAAGACTTATAAAAGTCAGGATCAACATGCACGACCTTGACATTAGAATGCACATTAATGTGAGACCATTCAATTACAGCATCAAAAATCCTGGCTGATGTTGGTGCCACAAACAGCATTTTTATCATTTCACAGTCCATCAGTATAATTTTTCCAAAAGCTTTTTTACAGGACTTGTCTATCGGAATGAGCTGTATGTACATACAATCTTTTTTTTTTTTTTTTTTTTTTTTTTTTTTTTTAAAGTGCTATTGATTTCACATACCGCACTATAAACTATGTGTTTGCTAAATACAACTGTAATCTATAAGTATAGTTCTGACGCCGCAATGCAGTATGCTTGGCACGCCTCCGAATTTGAACAACCGATATTTGTTAGTCGAAAAAGAAAAAAGAAGAGACCATTTAAAATAGACCCCATGAAGAGAAACCGGGAGACCGTCAATCCGAGAGAAGTGAGAAGAAGAAAGAGGAAGAAGAAAAGAGAAGAAGGAAGAAAAAGAGAAAAGCTTTCTAGGTAACGAATAAGGATATAGTAGACTAGCGTCTGAGGTCAAGGCGCCCCTCCCTAGTCCCATCCCACCTATAGATTTAACTTCGGCAGCAAAGTAGCCCACACCTGCGCCAGAAGGATTGACACAAACCAGTAGTAACCCCCTGTAATACTGATGTCGTCGCGGTCTTCAAGGGTTCGGGAGAGAAGCCTCTAACTCATCAGCATGTATGTACAAGTGGAGACAATTAGAGAGACTGTAGAGAGAAGAAGATATTCAAGAACTGAAAGGAACCAGAAAGAAATTATGGAAAAGTCGGAGAACGAGTAACAGATGAGAAACATAGTGGAACAGAGAAGAGAAAGGAAAGATCCGAGAGCTCGGTGTGTCGATGTCATGCAGTGAAGTTGTCGTGAGTGTTGCCGTAGGTCATAATGTGTGAGAAGCGTCGTGAGGCCAGGATGAATGTGGCCACTTCCGGGAGGGCCATGGGATTGTCCATTATGGATCGAAAGGAGTCGCAGTTGATGCCGCACTTCTTTTGTTTGAGCCGGAGTTTAAGGGTCCTCCTGATCGACCTGTATCTTTTGCAAAACATAATGAAATGGGGTGCCGATTCCCTCTCCAGGCAGTGAGTACATCTCGGGTCAAGGACTTGTTTTATCTTGAAGAGAAAGTGATTGAGAGGAGCATGATCCGCTCGAAGTTGGAGAATGATGGCTGTGAGACTTTTCTCCTGCTCATCCAAGGCAGAGATGATGGGCCTGGGGTCCGGCTTATATCGGAAGCGTGTCTTCTCCTCCGGTGACAATGTAGGGCCTTTTCTCCATAAGGAGCTACAGACCTGTTTCATTTTGGATAGGCTAGCTGGAAGCTGGCGAGTCAAATTGGGGTGGTTAGCATCCTCCTCCGGGTGTAGTGCCTCCGCTTTGGCAAGGGAATCAGCTCTTTCATTAGCTTCAATGCCCTTGTGGCCGGGACACCAGAAGAGTGAGATTGGGATTCCTAGTGAGCGCAGGGAAAAGAAATTGTCAGCGTATAGGTGTTGGCCTGAAGAGGCCTGAGTCGGGTCGGCTGTCCGGATGAGGGCCCCTTGGTTGTCGCAAAAGATTGCAGCTGCCCTAAACCTCCCAGGCCAGGCAGACCACATGATCCGTTTTATCAGCCTGATGGCAAGTCTGATTCCTGTTAGTTCAGCTTCAAAATTGGAGATGTTGCGGTGAGCGGGGATTTTAACTGAGTCAGTGAAAGTACAATTTTGTGTGGCGGCAGCCGCGCCTGCTCCAGTGCCTGGGATCCAAGATCCATCGGTGAAGACCAGGAGTGTTTTTGTGTTTGCTTCTCTTTCCACCTGGTCGCGAACCAGTTTAACCACCTTCTCTTTGGGGATGGCCAGATTGTGGACCTTAGAGATTGGTGCAATCCACGGAGGGAGAGGGGAGACCTGGATGGTTTCCATCTCGTGATGTAGGTGTTCTCGTATTTCTTCTAAACCTGTAAAGGAATGTAGAGGGCTGGGAAAAGGAGGTTTAGGTTCAGTTAATTCCCTCCTGAGGAAGGGTACAATTGGGTGCGGGGGGGATCTGGTCAGTCCTTTGAGAATGTAGGAGAGGGAGAGTTTGGTGTGGGTGTCAATAAGCGGCTGAAGGCCACTGCTCAATTTTACAAAGGGAAGGGGGGTTTGCTTGAACAATCCCGTCACAAGTCTACTGGCGCGATGAAAGAGGTTGTCCAGCACCTGAGATACAGTTTTCCTATTCCTTGCCGTGAACCAGATTAGGCTGCCAAATAGCACTTGAGGGTACAAGACCGCGCTGACTATCCTTCGGGCTAGTCGTAGATTGAGGCCGTAGGTGGATTTGATTATTCGGCCCAGCTGTAAGAGAGTCAGGTCACCTGTTTTCTTAACCTTTTGGATGTGGTCAGCAAAGGTCAGTTTACTATCCAGGATTAATCCCAGCCATCTAGCTGAGGGTTGAAAATCCAGTGCATGTCCATCGAAATCAAAGGACGGCCACTTTAGCGGTTTGGGGGAAAAACCCATCAACACAGCCTTTTTTCTGTCAAAAATTGCACCATGTTTGCGGCCCCAGGTCAAAGACCTTGTTGCCTCTTCGCTCAGCATGGACATAACTTCATCTATGTCGGGAGCAGCAACTAGGTGAACTACATCGTCTACATAGCCGATGGAGATTCTGTTGTCCAAAAGGGAAGCTGAGTTTTGAACCAGGAGGCTACTGTTGTAAAGGATGTAGAGTGTAACTGATAGGGGTGAGCCTTGAGGGAGGCCTTCCAGGATGTCGAAGGGTGGGGATGTGTAGTCTCCCAATCTCATGGAAGTCGACCTGTCTGATAGGAAGGAATAGATGATTGATGTGAGGTAGGGAGGACAAGAGAGTTCAATCAGCCGGCTACGGAGCCTATCTTTGTAGACTGTGGGATAAGCGGATTTGACATCCAAGAAGATCCCAGCCACAACAAGCTTGTTGCGCCAATGGTTCTTGATCCAGGAAGTTAGCAGTACCAGGGCGTCTGTGATGTTCCTGCCCCTCCTCCCACCCATATGGCTTGGGGGGAGAACGTTGTTGTTGTTGATCCAATATGTTAGGCGTTTGTTGATAACCTTTTCGAAAAGCTTTCCTAGAGTGCAAAGGAGGGCTATAGGTCGGTAAGCATTTGGATCTCTGTAATCTGGTTTATCAGCTTTTCGAATGATGGCTGTGGTTGCTGTGCGCCAGCTGCTGGGAAAATGGTGAGTCCGTAAACAGGAGGAGAATAACGGGGCAAGGAAGGAGCTTAGTCGGCACTTTCCGGCTTTGAGCAGTTCATTGGGGATGGAGTCAGGCCCAACAGCTTTCTTGGGGGGCAGCGAATTGATTGCTCTTTCGACTTCATCCTCTGTCACGGGGGGAAAGTCTTCCTCCATGGGAGTGGCTGCATCTTCTATATCAGATAGGTCGCACTCAGTGGGGATTACTGAGGTTCCTTTGAACAGAATTGCAGCCTGTTCCACCGCATCTGTGGACAGCGATTTGTCATCCCTGTACAGGGGTTCGATGGTGTTAGCCATCTTAGCCTTTGTGAACTTATACGCCTGGAACGCGGACGCATCACCCGTTCTCGCTAGAAATCTGCGCCAGTGATGCAGCTTAAGCTCCTCAACCTTATCTTTGAAGGCTTTTTGCCAGGCATAATAGCATGCGCGAGCTTCTGGTGAGTTGTCTAGAAGCATCCATCGACGGGCTCTGTTCCTGTTGGAGACAAGGGGATTTAAGATTTTTGGGTCCCACCATGAGTTGGCCTTGGAGTTTCCTCTCCAAGGGATTTTCCCTTGTTTCAGGTGACAATCTTGAATGCTTTTTGTCAGACCTGTGACAGCATGTTCAATGTCTGCTACTGACATCTCTGGAGTTGTGGGGGGGAGCTGAGAAAGGGCGGAAAAGAGATCGTTGGAGAATAGAGAGAGATCCATCCTATCAATTGCAATACCCTTCATTCGGGCTGGAAGTTTAGTCCTCCCTTGGGCTGATAACTGCAATACAATAGGTTGATGATCGGACGCGTAGTTGTTCAAAGCCACCGAGCAAGCCGATACCAAGGGCTTGCACTTGTGGTTGACCCAGCATAAGTCGATGGTGGTCTGGGAGCCTCTAGCTCCAAGGAACGTGGGAACTCCCTTGGGAGAGGTCAGGTAGAACCCTTTTCTACCACACAACTTAATTAGCTCTTTCGCGACGGAGTGAGTGTGTCGATAGCCTGGTGGGTTCCAGAGCGGGTGGTGTAGATTTGAGTCCAACATAAGGACAGTGGGGATTTTTCTGGAGGAGTGGGAATCCAACCAGCTGGTCAGTTCTGGAATGGTAGGGAAGGATGTGGGAGGGTTGTAGATTGAAAGCAAGTGGAGGGAGAGGGAGGGGACGGTCGGTAGAGTGAGGGAGACTGCAGTCAGATTAGAAGAGTTGCTTGGCAACCGGAAAAAGTGGTGGGTGGGGGTGACTTTGTTGATATAGATGCAACAACGGGGTCTGCCGTCCGCTTTTGCTGGGTTATCGATGGGAGAGATCCGGTGCCAGCCCGGATGGTTTGGCGGGAGGTGGTCAATAGGATTAGTCCATGGCTCTTGCAGCAGCAAGGCCATTTGGTTTTCTTCTGAGCAGAGGACACTGAGGGTGGTGTCCCGGCGGTTATGACAATTGAGCTGTAGACAGGAAAAGGGTGTTGAGTTGGGCCTGCTATTGGAATTGGTATTTTGTGTCAGTGTTTGGGGGGGGGTTGAGGGTCGATGGAGAGGAAACAGGGGAGGTGGCTTCAGGGTAGGAAATAGTAAAAGGGAGTTCTGTGGAGTGGGTGTCGATGGTTGTATTATTCATGAGTGGGATTTAGAGATTTTGTTCTTTTCAAGGCTTTCGAGTTCCTTGGCACGTACCTGACAAGCGCTATTGAAAGGGGAATGGTCATACTTAGGGTCTGTAAGATCTATGGGTAGCTTAGCTTTGCGGTCCACTGCTAAACACCGTTGGCAGCTCCTACTGGAGTCCTCCATGACTTCACAGGATGCTGAATTGTGAGTACCTCCACACCTTGAGCAGAGAGCCTTATCCTTGCAAGAGTGAGCCAAATGCCCCACTGCTAAACAGTTGTAGCACTGTTTAGGCCCTTGAATATAGTGTTGGCCTCGGAGATGTAGGTTATTGTAGCAAAGTCCTGCCCGCTCAATATCAAAGGCCAGTCGTCTGTCGTAGAAAAAGATCAGTAAGGTACCTGTTTCTTTACCAGCTAGCTTGGGGTTAAGTAACCACCGTATCTTCTGAATGTCTTTGGTTTCGATGTCATTTTGCTGACATAGAAGTGCTACATGTTGAGGGTTGTCGACCTCGAAGCTGGAGGGACAGGAGTGTAGGAGAACTGGATGGGTCACTTGAGTAGTGATGAACTTGGGGTCAGCTTGCACAGTCCATAAATGTTTGTTGTCCAGCAACCATTTAGCTGCCTTGCGATCCTTAATGAAGACTTTGATATCTCCATTTGGGAACTGAGCCACCGCCTTGACGGTGATAGGCTCTCCCTCGATGTGTGCCTTAGCGAAGCTTAGAGCTTCATTGATCTTTTTAGTGATCTGGGCCGCAGATAGTCCTTCAAATGGTTTGGGTTGGTCGAATCGCTTTCGTATGACCACTTGTCCGAGTTTGAATCTGTTAATGTGGGTGGATGAGGGGACCATAGGTAAAACGGAGGGGGCATTAGGTGCCCCACCTACCTTTTTTGGGCCAGCGGCCTTCTCAGAGTAGAGGGGTGCGGGTCTGCTTGGTAGCGTCGCAGGAGCAGCTGTGGGGGCCCCCGCGGTAGAGGATAGGTCTTCGACCTTTTTCTCTAAACCGGGTCAGATTAGCTTGCAATCTCCTCAAACCCTGACTAGCAGGGTGTTGAAGGAGTCTTGCCGGTGGATCTGGGCAGGTGGGGCTGGTTTCGCCGCCACTGCCTTCTCCAAATTGTCCAGCCGGGAGACTAGGGACTCGACTAGCGTGGTTAGTCTAGTCAACATTGGGTCTGCCTGTTGCGGCAAGGACCCCTCGGCAATGTACATGTCCAGCGCGGACATGTCATTTGCAGGACCATGGCCTGGCCCTTGCGGCAGCAAAGGAGGTGGCATGGTAGGTAAAACGCAGGTGGGTGAGAGGAATAAGGGGGTGAAGAGAGAGGTCGGGGCTAGTGACCAATAACGGAGGAGCTAGGTGGATGGAAGGGGATGAGTGGAAAGTCTGGGAAGGTTTAGGTTATGTGTTTGTGGTTTGGTTGGTAGATTTTAGGATAACAGTTTTGGACGAGCGGAAAAAAGGTGGTGACATATATGTAGAAGGTAAGAGCCCCCCAAGCTCGGAACCCGGGTGCAGAGATTATGTATGTAGGCCCCGGTCAGCCCGCGTCCCGGGCGGACCAGTGCGATCTCCGGAACCCCCCCCAACGGATCAACTTGAGCCAACCAAAAACCAAAAACCCCCCAGCAGGCCACAACACACAACCAACTTCATGCCCATCTACTC